ACACACACACACACACACAATGACACATTTTGTGTATATATAATGTTTTGTCCATCATTACCCCGTGATCTCACGTTGTGTTTCCCCAGAAACCGTTACCCAAGATCAACGTCCTTCAACCTATGACTCATGACACGCTGGACAACGGAAAGTTCACCTCCTACAAGTTGTCTCTCGTGGTCAGTTTTCGTTTCGTTTCTTGTTGTTGGTGGTGCTTTTGTTTTTGGTGTGTTTTTAATTCATTACTTTATCTATTTACTCACTTTTGGTTTGGTTTTGCCTTTTGTTTGTTTTTTTCTCCTTTTTAAAAACTTAGTTAGTAAGTGTTTGTTTTGTTTCTTGTAAATTCGAATTAAATATTTTTTGCCTTTGGCTTTTATTTCTTTTATTTTTAAGCATGTAAGTTTTTAAAAGTTTGTTTGATGTCATATTTATTTTTATAATTTGTTGTTTGTTTGTTGTTGTTGTTTTTTTCCTCTGAGTTTATTCTTCTTTTTAAATGTATCTTAGTTTTATTTTGTTTCTTGTCGTTGTTTGTTTTTTGGTTTGGAATTTTCAATATTTTACGTTTTTTTCAGGGGGGAGGGGGGGGGGTGAGGGCGTTGATTATTGGGGGGGTTTCTGACTCACGACACGGTTGTTGGTTGTTGTTTGTTTGTTTTTGGGGGGAGGGGTTGGGCGATTTTTACAAGGCTGGTAGTTTGCTCTATCAAAGCTGACCGGGAAGTGAATTAACAGAGAAAAACTTGACTGTTGGTGACCATCATCTTTTACAAAAGCAAAGATGATGTTGTAGGCCGAGGCATAATAGTCACAACACAGCTATTTCCTTCAATGATGTCTTCAAGTGCCGACTGCCGCATATCGCGGTTGTTGAGTTGTGGGGTCCTTGAATCCCACAGACATTGGGAATTTCGATAACGTCCTTTATTTCAGCCTCTCCAAACCAACACGACCCATTATGAATATCGAAACCCGAGCACTCTTACAAGACCAAAACTGAGTCGATAGTGTTGTAAAACTCCTGCTCAAACGAGCGCAGACAAAAGACCTGTCTCTCACCTCCAAGGGTTTTTTGACCCCTCGGCTACTGGTGCCAGTCTTGCGATTTGCCGTCTTCATTCGACAGATCAAACACAACCGATTATTGACCTAGATATATACAATAGTGGCGTTAAATGTTTTGAAAGATTTGGTCGAACTGTGTCTGATGGTAGCTTTTTGCCCCTCGGTGAAAGAAAATTATCTTAGGGG